TATAGCACAGAGAACTATACTCAATATCTTGTAATAACCTATAATGGAAAAGAATCTGAAAAAATATACATATATATGTGTATATATACACATATATATGTATATATATACACATAAATATGTATGTATAGATGAATCGCTTTACTGTATACCTGAAGCTAACAGAACATTGTAAATTAACTATGCTTCAATAAAAAAAATTTTAATAGTATGGTGCATATTGGTAAAATGTGTAAAACATGATGCATGCTGCAGAGTCACCTCTGCTCTCAGCTTGGCCACTTAGTTCTGTGAGTGCTCGATTCCCCAGCACTTGTCTTCACCTGCACTACTGCAAAATGATCATTCCCACTCTAGTCATTGTATCATTTGGCTTTTGCTTGGTGTGAATGTATTGTTGATAATATGTCTGACTTTATTTCCTTTCTTCATTAACTCTCAACAGTTAAAGCAGTACCACCAAGTGCCAAACAACAGTATCAATGCAAACATAAACATGGACTTGAAATTGCATAAAGGTGCATTAATAGAATAAGAATAAACTTATATTGAATATGTTTTTTACCATCACCTAAATAAAAACACAATATTTTCAAACTATCATTCTTACTCCAAAGAATACAAATGTAGACACCATTTTAGGAAGCATGGCGTCAATGAGATATATTTTATATAGTTTTATTCTTCTCAGAGCAGTTGATGGTAGATTAAATGACTATTTTCTACATTTTCTGTGGAGATTGATATCAAACTGAGACACATTATTTGGTTGTCCCAAGTAACCTATGAGTTTCTTTTCATTTATCTAAAACTCTGTGACAAATCAGACTTGATTTATTCCAAAGTAGTGCTTCATAGGCTATAAGCAGATGGCAGGAAAGGGAAGGATAAATGGGAATTTACACAAATGTATCAGTATATGCTTTTTTTTAAAATGAAGTATAGTTGATCTACAATATTATATGAGTTTCAGGAGTACAGCAGAATGATTCAGTACTTTTATAGATTATACTCAATTAAAAGTTATTACAAGATAATGGCTATAAGTCCCTGTGCTATACAAAATATCCTTGTTGCTTATCTATTTTATACACAGTAGTTTATATTTCTTAATCCCTTACCCCTAACCTGCTCCTCCCCCCCCCACCCTCTCCCCTCTGGTAACCACTAGTCTGTTCTCTGTATCTGTGAGTCTGTTTCTGTTTTTCTATATACATTCATTTGTATTATTTTTTAGATTCCACATATAAGTGGTATTATACCGTATTTGTCTTTCTCTCTCTGACTTACTTAACTAAGTGCAATATTCCCTAGGTCCATCCATGTTGCTGCAAATGGCAATAATTCATTCTTTTTTATGGCTGAGTAATATTCTATTGTATATATACCACATCTTCTTAAGCCAGTCATCTGGTGATGGACACTTGGGTTGCTTCCATGTATTGGCTATTGTAAATAGTGCTGTTATGAACATTGGGGTTCATTAATTTTTTCAAATTAGTGTTTGTGTTTCTTCAGATGTATGCCCAGGGTGCAAATTGCTGGATCATATGGTAGCTCTATTTTTAGTTTTTTAAGGAAACTATATATTGTTTTCCATAGTGGCTGCACCAATTTACATTCCTGCCAACAGTGTACAGGGTTCCATTTTCTCCACATCCTCACCAACATTTTTTATTTGTAGACTTTTTGATGATAGCCATTCTGACAGGTGTGAGGAGCTATCTCATTGTGGTTTTGGTTTGTATTTTTCTGATGATTAGCAATGCTGAGCATCTTTCCATGTGCCTGCTGGCCATTTGAATGTCTTCCTTGGAGAAATTTCTATTTAGCTCTTTTGCCCATTTTTTAATTGTTTTTTTTTTTATATTGAGTTGTATGAGCTATTTATCTCTTTTGAATATTAACCCCTTATCAGTCAAATCATTTGCAAATATTTTCTCCCACACCATATGATGTCTTTTAGTTTTTTCAATTGTTTCATTTGCTGTGCAAAAGCTTTTAAATTTAATAGGTCCCATTTCTTTATTTTTGCTTTTATTTCTTTTGCTTTAGGAGGAAGAGACAAAAAAATATTGCTTGCGATTTATGTTAGATAATGTTTTGCCTGTATTCTCTTGTAGGAATTTTGTGGCTTCTGGTCTTACATTTAGGTCTTTAATCTATTTTGAGTTTATTTGTGTATATGGTGTGAGAAAGTGTTCTAATTTCATTGTTTTACATGTAGCTGTCCAGTTTTCCCAGCACCACTTATTGAAGAGACTGTCTTTTCTCCATTGCATATTCTTGCCTCTTTTGTCATAGCTAAATTAAGTGACCATAAGTGTGTGGGCTTATTTCTGGGCTCTGTATTCTGTTCCATTGATCTCTGTATCTGTTTTTGTGTCAGTACCTTGCTGTTTTGATTACTGTAGCTCTGTATTATAGTCTGAAGTCTGGGAGGATGGTATCTCCAGCTTTGTTATTTTTTTCAACCTTATTTTGGCAATTCAGTGTCTTTTTTGGTTTCATATGAATCTTAGGATTATTTGTTCTAGTTCTGTGAAAAATTTCATGGGTATTTTGTTAGGAATTGCATTAAGTCTCCTTTGGGTAGTATGGTCATTTTAGCAATATTAATTCTTTCAATCTAAGGGCACAGGATATCTTTCTATTTGTATCATCTTTAATTTCCTTTATCAATGCTTTATTGTTTTCAGAGTACGGGTCTTTTACCTCCTTGGTATTTTATTCTTTTCAAAGTGATTTTTAAATCTATTTGTATCATCTTTAATTTCCTTTATCAATGCTTTATTGTTTTCAGAGTACGGGTCTTTTACCTCCTTGGTATTTTATTCTTTTCAAAGTGATTTTTAAAAAATAAATTTATTTATTTATTTATTTTTGGCTGTGTTGGGTCTTCGTTTCTGTGTGAGGGCTTTCTCTAGTTGTGGCAAGCGGGGGCCACTCTTCATTGTGGTGGGCGGACCTCTCACTGTTGTGGTCTCTCTTATTGCAGAGCACAGGCTCCAGACGTGCAGGCTCAGTAGTTGTGGCTTACAGGCCCAGTTGCTCAACAGCATGTGGGATCCTCCCATTCCAGGGCTTGAACCCGTATCCCCTGCATTGGCAGGCAGATTCTCAACCACTGCGCCACCAGGGAAGCCCACGAAGAGATTTTAAACGGGATTGGTTTTTCACTCTCTCATTCTGATAGTTCATTATTAGTGTATAGAAAAGCAACAGATTTCTGTATATTAATCTTGTGTCCTGTGACTTTGCTTAATTCATTTATTGGTTCTAATAGTTTTTGGGTAGAGACTTTAGGGTATCTATATAAAGTATCATGCCATCTGCAAATAGGGACAGTTTTATTTCTTCCCTTCCAATTTGAATGCCTTTTATTTCTTTTTCTTATCTGATTGCTGTGGCTAGGACTTCCAAAACTATGTTAAATAGAAGTGGTTAAATAGCCTTATCTTGTCCCTAAATTTAGAGGAAAACCTTTCAGCTTTCCACTACTGCATATGTTAGCTGTCAATTTGCCATAAATGGTCTTTATTATGTTGGTATATGTTCCTTCTGTACCCACTTTGATGAGAGTTTTTGTCATGAATGGAGGTTGAATTTTGTCAAATGCTTTTTCTGCATATATTGAGATGATCATGTAATTTTTTTCCTTCCTTTTGTTAATGTGGCATATCACACTGATTGATTTGTGTATGTTGAACCATTCTTGTGTCCCTGGAATAAATCCAACTTGACACAGTGTATGATCCTCTTATATACTGTTGGATTCATTTTGCTAATATTTTGTTGAGGATTTTTGCATCTGTACTAAGATATTGGCATATAATTTTCTTTCTTTGTAGTGTCTTTGTCTGGTTTTGGTTTCAGGGTACTGGTGGCCTTGTAGAATGAATTTGGGAGTGTTCCGTCCTCTTGAATTTTTTGGAATAGTTTGAGAAGGATAGGTATTAATTCTTCTTTACATGTTTAGTAGAATTCCCCTGTAGTATAATGAATTATTTGATTGAAATAAATTTTTATCACCCAATTGTCTTTCTTCTAAGAAATAATTAACTATATTAAATTTTTGTGATATTTTATTTGTATTTCCCAAAGTTATATAGGTTCACCTAAAACTTTCCCTTTTATCTTCTAGATTTACCCATGAGCCACATGAGATTTCTTCAGGAGAGAACAGCTTCATTGGCCAGGAATTGAGTGTGGGCAGAGATTCACCTTTTGTGTTGGAAGACAGTGGAAGTGACCATCTGGCTTACATTCCAAGCCAAATGTTTATGCCACAGAAATTAACAACTAAATATGAAAAAGATCAGGATTCTGAAGAAATTGCAAGTCTCACTCCTGGTAAGGAAATGAAAAGTTATAGTGGTAATTTTAAAATAACTGGATCCTCATCTTTTAACACTAATAGAGAATCAAATAAATAAGGTGGGTATAAAAAGCAACTTTTTTCAAGTTCAAGATGGTGGCTACAACTGCAGCTTTTATTTGATCTGAAGATTTAAATGGTCACAGGTACCACTCTGGAAATCACTGATAAGTTCTAAGAAATGTCACTGATATGCTCACCAAACTTAAGATTTCTCTAGAAACCACAATTTAGGTTAGTGTGATGTAGAAGGAGGTACTATAGAGAATAACATAGCAAAGGAGGAACTTTTAAAAGTTGGCCTGACCAGTGCCCCAGAATTTGTGATTGCATGAGAAGGTGTAAGGTTTTTTCACTGGAAATAAAATAAACTACCCCACTGTATATACATTTTAATGGCAAAGCAGTATTGCTTTTTGTCAGGATTTAATAGTTTCAAACAAATCAGATCATAGAATTTTGGCTGTATTTTCATTTAAAAGGGTGGGAATTCTAAACAGACTATTCAGCTATTCCATCTATGTATCTAGAGTCTCCCAAAATGCTCATTTGGCCAGAATGCCAGCATTTAAAGCATTATTTCATAAGTATCATGTGTGATGTTAGAATATGCAAGTTTGAAAGAAAAGGCGGCCAATCTCATAATATTCATTCTTAGTAATTTCCTTGGATAAATACATGTTCTTTTCCTTGGGTTCAACACGGATGTCCCCATATTTCCCCCCATTTCTGAAATATACATGTTTGAATTTTGTCTTTAAAGCAGCTGAACTTTCCTTTATAGAAGCTAGACTTGAGAATTTAAGAGTCAATTAATCATTAGTTGAAAAATAAGACTTTTTTTTAGTAAAAGAAAAAGTAATGAAGTAAACCTGGCTGTATGTAGCTCCTTGGCATTAAGGCATTCAATGTGTGATTTCTTATTTAAAACAGGTTTTTATCATTATATAGACATAGCGTAAAGAAGAAAATACAAAATTTGTTCTTCTTAATGGATGCGGTTAATTTGGGGTATTCATTTTAACGATATGGGAATTACAACAGCCCTCAAGGCATAGGAATTTATTATGGTTTGGTTTTGGAAGAAAAAGAAAAGAAAAAGAGAAGTTATTTTGGCAGAGTTGAAATACCAAATTGTCATTTGTGATAGTATTCTTAGTGGTAAGCATTTTAAAGTCTAATAATTTAGAAGTGTGAAACTTTTCAAGAAAGACCGAATTAATTGGATATTTAAGGGAACAAAGGAGAAACTCATCTTTGCAGTCACCTTTAATGACCGTTGTTCAATAGTAATAGAAACACTTTTCATTTGGTTTTTCAGATATCTGGATATCAATATACTCATAACCAGTTTAAGGTCCAATTTGGCTGCAGAAATAATTGTTGCATGGCTCTATAGGAGTCAATTTGCTGTTACACCCACCACACCCAATTTCTCTTGCAGTGGATTGAAGTGTTGGGAGTTCTGTGGAGGATTATGTTGAGGTGATTGCCTGGTAACAGAGTCTCAGATCTAAGGATAATATATATTTTTTATCCTTTACAATAAATCTGAGTCTCAGATCATCAGTGTTGTCTAGGGACTTCATACTATTCCTTTCTTTATTTTTTTTTCTTTTTAAAATCATTGTTAGCTAGTTGTCAAAAGCCGCTGAGAACTTTCTGTATAATGTGCCATCCTCAAGAAGAGTAAATTGTAGTTCAGATATTTTATCCAGTCACTAAGAGATGAGCTTTGATACACGTTCCAGATGTATTTCACAAATAAAAAGATTGATAACTTCCATAAGAACTTCCACATGCTATGCTTATTACTCATTTATAATGTGATTCTTATGGCCAAGGGCTGATTTTTGTGCCCTTGAATGGAGAGTCCTGGAGAAGTCAAGAATCTTAACCATTTAAGAAATTTTTAGAGTTCCCAGCGTACTGTGGGCTGGCAATGAGTTGTGTATCACTCTCTTTCACAAGAAACACAACCACTATCGCTCTACCTAGCCCTCTCCCTTGCTTCTTCCTCCCTACTCCAGTTTCCAAGTTCATCCTTAATTGCATCACATTTCCTGGCCATCTCCACTCCTCACAGCAGCTCAAAGACAATTTGTATCAGGATCACCTGGAAGCCCTTCACAAGCATAGATTCCTAAGCCCTTCTCAGTACTACTGCTTCATATTTAGGGGTGTGAGTGGCCAGGAAAAAACCACAAGCTTTAAAACCACCATAGGTGATTTTTGTAGGTCCTCATTTTTCAGATCCACTATTCCAGTGATTCTCAAAAAGTGTGTCCCTAAACCAGCAGCATCAGCATCACCTGGGAACTCGTTAGAAATGCACTGATCCTGAACCTACTGAAGCAGAAACTGGAGGTGGGGCTCAGCCATCTGATTTCTAACAAGCAAAAAACCTGATCCAGGCTGAAGTTTAAGAACTACTGTGCATGCTGCCACTTTGGTGTGCTTCCAGATTTGCTCTGTGGTCTCAGCTAAAAGCAATTGAATAACTAGTATCACAGAACAGAATTCCGATTGTCAAAGGGATCCAGGTAAACTGGATTATAATTTTATTTTACTCATCCAAGAACACTGAACATTCATCCACCCATCTATTCATCCAACATCTATCTAACAAGACATTTTAAGGTCCAGATATGTAGGGGTTATCTAGAGATACTATTATGCATTTTGACCACACATCCACAATATAAAAATTCCTTGGAAAATTCAGTTGCTCTTAATTACTCACCAATGGAATACACATAGTTCTTTGGAATTATGTAATGAAAAATGGGTGGTTTAATTCTAATTAAATTGCAACTGTTGACCCAATGGTGAGCCTAGCACTTTCATCAAAGATGTTATGTTAACTAATACTTAAGATACAGTTAGTCTATTGTCAAGATTAGAGAGGGACAGGATAATTTTTAATGAATGTTAAATACCAACCCAAACTCAGCCTCAGGCACACTCATAGCTTTAAGCACTCCCTGGCCTTAGGATAATTTCAGCTGATGTTCTTTTCAATGAATTTTATTAAGAAATAAGAGGCAACACTTCCCTCTTCAAACTAGGCTGGAGTTGTGCTCAAGGGAATTTGCATGGATTTTGTTTTACATTTTTATTTTGCTAACTTTGATTGTGATCTACAATCAGTTTTGGTTTTTTAAGCCAATGTATCTTTTGATTTTGAATCAATCATAAGGTATTAGAGCTGGAAAGGTATTTAGTGATTAGCTTTTGCAAATTCACCTGGGGATGATTCCACCCTACTCTACCCTAGGAGACATATTGCAATGTCTGGAGACAGTTTTAGTTGTCATAACTGGAGGGCACTACTGGCATCTAGAGGCCACAGATGCTGCTAAACATCCTACAATGCACACTGGACATCCTCTCACAACAAAGAATTATCCGATCAGACTGTCAATAGTGAAAGAAACCCTGTTTTAGAAGAAACTTCAAGCCCCCAAGCAGGGAACTAAAAAAATTCAGTATAAGGACTCAAGATTTCTACACCCTGTCCACTGTTTCCCAGTACACCCTCAGGATTCTGCTAATTTTTTAAAAATTGTAAAAGTACTATCATACCACATAACATTTTAATACAGAGTCACAAATCACACAGTTTAGCAGGCTGAGCTATTTGTTGTGTGGAGTACAGTCTTTGGTTTTTCCACAGGCATATAGGTTTACATAGTTTTATTCAAATTCATATCCTGCTTTTCACATATGTTATACATTTTACATATTGCTGCAAGCTTCATACTGATTTTTTTGTGTTCTCATAATGTTACTTTCAATGAATGAATGTATTAACGTAGCTTGCTTCCAATTTTTGCTGTCACGTATTGAACTTGAAGACATATATCTTCTGCTACATTTAAATCTGTACTGGAATTAAATGCAGCAGAACTGGCTTCTGAGTCACCCAATGGAGCAGTCCCCCAGCTGAATGTCCTACTTTCATATCTGTACACATGCTAAAGAGGTCAGTGATAGAATTGGGATCATGTCTGAATTGTAATGGCATGTTTCATGAATGCTTTAGGAAATCCCAACCATCTGGATGCTCTTTGGGGGATAAACTCCTTTTCATTTTAATCTGTGGACTGAGGTTGTGACATTCACTTTTGCTTGAGAATTTATTGTATAGTTATTATACTTTGGGTGTCTTCCTTGAAGATATTGCATGCGGCAGAGCTAATGTGAACTGCGAGTTCAGGGGATGTGGATGATTTGACTTCATGGAGGCTGCTTCTGTAGGTCTCATGCAATCATTTGTTGCAATTACTAAAGCAATGTTCTATAGTGTTAGCAACACTTTTTTTCATGGGGACTCTTTGCTAATGGAATAAAACATAGATAGTTGAAGTGATAATTGGGTGATGGTGGTGGTGGCGATCGACAAAGCAGTGGCAGCCTTCATTGAGGGCTTCCTATAGGAAAGGACTCTGCCAAGCATTTACATGGATTTTCCCATGAATATCCATGCAGCAAATATGTATTTGACTCCTGTTCTGAATTAAGCCCCATGCTAGTCTTTTGGAGGGGTTAGAGAGATTTAAAAAAAAAAGAAAGATTCAGATAGAGGCCCTGTCTTCAAGGAGCTTGTAGTCTGATAATCAGAGTATACTCTGAGTAAAAAAAAAAGCTTAATACAAGTAAGAAAGTATTCAGTTTAATAAAAAGTGCAGGGAGATCAGCTTGGTGGTTTGTGACCACCTAGAGGGGTGGGATAGGGAGGGTGAGAGGGAGGGAGACGCAAGAGGGAAGAGATATGGGAACATATGTATATGTATAACTGATTCACTGTGTTATAAAGCAGAAACTAACACACCATTGTAAAGCAATTATACTCCAATAAAGATGTTAAAAATAAAGTGCAGGTGGAATGCTTTGGGGGCCAGTATTCATCTCAGCATTGTATTCACTGTCTCACTTGATGATCAAACAATGCATGAGAAATAATAGTAATCAC